CCCCCCCCAATCCCTGCCCCCAGTGCACAAAGCCCTGCGGCAACGGGATGAAGACACGGCAGGTGGTCTGTCAGTCCCTCACGGGGAGGCGCTTTCACGACCTGAGCTGCGACATCCTAGACAAGCCCCCTGACCGCGAGCAGTGCAACACGGAGCCCTGCCCTTCGAACCCCCACTGGAACGCTGGCCCCTGGAGCTCGGTACGCTCGTAAACATCGGCACTCACCCGTCACCCATCCATCGCCATGGAAACTAGCTTAAGAGCTAAACTGAAGACAGTAGCCCCATAGTCCCGGGGATCGTTAGAAGACGCGTAACGCGTAATACACACCACACGCCAATAGTACATCAAAGGATGATGCGTAAAGATAATGAAACAAAGGGCACCTTTTTCAGCAATGTTTCTAGGTAAGTGCCTAGCAGGTGAGACAACTCATCTAGATCTGGATGATCGCGAAAGGTTGCCCATCGCCAATTTAAAGCTTTTCAAATAAAAAAATTGTTGCCCAATACACAATAGGAAAGTGCCTAAGCAACATTGGTCAGCAATATTGCTCAAAAAGTTGCCTTGTGTATCATCAGCTTTACTGTACCCATTTAATTCTAGGCACTGTCATCACCTTTAGAGATAGCCCACTGATTTAGGACCAGTAGCTCCTTTCCAGACCAGTCTAGCTTATAAAATACTGCTGTTTAAGGCGTGACTTGCAGACACTGCTGTGATGGGCTGGCGCCCCCTCCTGGGCTATCCCCTGCATATGGGATTGGCTCTGGACCCCCCATGACCCTGCATAGGCCAAGCGGGTACAGAAACTGGAAAGATGGATTGATGCACGGATGGATTGAATCAGCTATACGTAGCATGAACCTGGCGTGTCGTTTTGTGGGCGTGGTCTTGTGATGTCATCGCACTCACTGCTGAAGTCTTTATGTGAAGTTGGTATTTGTCTTTAATATAGTTTTTATAGTTTTATAATATAGTTTATAATATAGTTTTATAATTTCTTGGAATATAAAGCTCATCTGTCAGACATCACTTGAAGCAGCATCTAGCCAGGAATTGATACACCCTTTAAGAGGTGCTCTAACGAATCAAGGAACTGAATTACATCATAGTACTGAGATAAATATTTTACAGGTGCTGTAATATTGTCATATTTAAGGTCATATTTTGGTACTTACTGTAAGAAACTCTGAATATACATAAGTATGTTTTTGCAAATGTGTGTTTATACAACATTACCTTTTTGATGTTTTTGCATGACAGCTTTCTGCTGTCGTTCGTGGTTATTTTAGCATAAAGATACTGGCTTTGCATCCATGTTTCTCAGATTCCACAAACGTTTCAGCAGGGGATCATTATTTTTCATGAGATCTGTCTCTCGGCCAGTCAGATGTCTACCTCATTCTCGAACGCAGAGTCCGCTCCTCCAAAAGGCCTGTGGGTTGTTCACATGCAGCCCCCCCCCCCCCCCCGCAAGCCACTGGAAAATGTAACCCCCCTGTCCAGTTATACCTTCAACTCAAACTTTGACGTCTAGTTTAATGGTGTGTTAATACTCTTCAGAACAGGAGTGTGGGGTGAAGTCCTCACCAGTGCCAGATTTCAATGTTCACGCCAAAGGTTTTAAGGTGTTTATGAAGATGGTCTTTTTGAAGAAGCTTTCAAGCTTTAAAGATTATGCGACAGTTTTCCAGTGACCTGAGAAATCTGGTAAATGTATCCTGTACTGAGGTTATTTAGGCATTATTGTGTGCAGTGAATATATTATTAACAGAAAATGCTACATTTAACAGCCTTTTTAAATGATGTGTGGACCGCTAGCTTCACTGTTATGTACTTTGTGTACGTGTGTAAGTAATTTATTCGGTACTTCAGGACAATTGTGCTGAATGTTATTTAATTTTATACAAACATACATCATTTCACATTGTTCATTGTCAGCAATTAAAGTTAATTAGAGGCCATTACAGAAACATGATTCTTTGGTTTGTTTTCTGGCAAAACACACAAACCTCAGAGCGATGTTGTGGCCACAGACATGTATAATCACGTTCTTGTTAACATAATAAAAAGTGAGTATAACCTTTTTCTGAAACAAAAAAAAGCAACACGCATGTAATTTGTCTGTACATATTTAATGAAGGGTCAACACTGGATAGTGCGCGTGAACAAGGCTGCGTGTTATGATTTGACATGACTAGATCTGTTGGGAGTATGACAGGTTCATGACGGCTCTCCCAGCACCACTTAGAAACACAATGAAGCAGACAGACGACACATATAACCCGCCATACATGTAACACGTGCACCTGGAAATGGTCAGTGCACCTTTCAGCATACAGGTTCCATCCTGAATCATCCGGCTTGGCTCTGTGCTCCGCCCCGGACAGGTGACCCGGCTGAGAAGGGGATCCTGGGTAGCATTCGATTCGAGACAAACAACCATAGAATGAAATTCACAGCAATGCAAAAACACTGGAACTGTCTTCTTTTGCTTTGAGAAATTTGGTTCAGTCCTGCATCCTTTGTTTGAACATCAGGCATGTTTAAAGGTTGTACTGTAAGTGTAATTAACTGTGTTTTTTGCTGAACGATCAAGGTACGACGCCTCCTTCTTTGCCTGGCACCTTCAGTCGTGACATAGTGCTCTCGGTAATCTGTGTTCCACTTTGTGTACATACGTTCATTGCTGCATAAACTTATAGGTCGGCAGATTTTTTTCTGTAAAATAATGCTCCGAGTCCTGTGAGTATTAAATCTAGTAGACTTTGGTCAATGCTGTATTCCAGGTGTAAATGAAGTTTTTCAAAGAGCAGTTCCCTGCCAGACAGTTCACATTTTTACTCCCTGGGAGGGAGCAAAATCGTGGACTGTCTGCAGGTCCCCAAGGGCCAGATTGGGAAACACTGATCTAAGATAATGTCAGTTGTAAAGCAGGCCAGCTCAGCATCAGGATTCAGTTTGTCGTCATGGAGATGCTCTGCTGATTGGCTTGTGGTGTGTTAGTGGTTTCTACTTGTCAAGCATGCAAATCCCCACCCCCCACCCCCTTCTCTTTTGGGTCAGGGCAGCACACCTTTCAGCACCCCCAGTGGTAGGAGTGGGGGTTGACTCCACACAGAATGCTCATCCAGGATTGGTCTGGTGTTGGAGCCCCGCCCCCTTCCCCTCACGTCCTGACTGAGCACGTCAAACCCCAAATCGGAGTGCTCTCCCGTGTTGCCCGTCAGGGAGGTTAATCCTTTGGAAGCCCAGTGACCATGCGGGAGGGGATGTGGGGGGGTAGGCAGCATAGGCCCATTTGGCCAGCAGACAAAAACAGCCAATTACTGCGACTCCTGATTTAATCAGCATCCCACAGCCAGCCAGCCACGTCCTCCAGGGGAGACCCACAAGTTCAGCCTCAAGTTCTTGGGCATGATAAAGGTTTTTGCTGCACACTCAGCAGTCAGCACCGAGTTAGACATGTGACTTCTGTGCGGTTTGCAGTCCACAAAATTCTCTATTTGTTTACATCTAGTAGATGCTAATAACTTCATTTGATATGTTGGTTGGCCTCCTAAAGTCATACATCTATATCATTTTGTATTTTATTGCAAAGTCATTATGTAATTATGTGATTTTTCTTTTATATTGTTTTTAATCCGGTTAGTGACCCTTCCACCATTGTACGTGTTTGAGCCTTCCAGTCAGCTGATTGACCTTTGACCTAGTCTCCTCCTCATGTCACAGTGTTCCGCAGCCTGCGGGAAAGGATACAGGTACCGCAAAGTGACCTGCGTGTCCCGATCCGGGAGGCCTGTTCCCGAGGAGAGCTGCCAGAAGCTGCCCCCCCCCAACAGGCAGCGGCGCTGCCGGGGGGGTCGATGCCCCAAGTGGAAGACTGGCAGCTGGGGAGAGGTGCGTCGAAATCGGCAGCTGAAATATCCACCTCCCCTTCATATGCACAGCCCCCTGACCCAGGGGCTGCCTTAGCCTCAGAAATACCTACATACCCATCACTCCCCTTTCATCCGTGAGTCTTTTTCGTACCATGGGACTGTAGCCTCATTTTTTGGTCAGACCTTGCCTTTGTAACCAGAGGCACCCCCAGGAACCGGTGACCCACCAGTGGGAACCCACTTACTGTACGAGACATGGCGGACTTCCCGACCTGCACTGGGACGTCCGGAAACCAGCACGCATGTCCTCGTAGCTAGAAGGCACAGAACAGCACATCTGTGCACCATCCCTGGAAAGGGGGGAGCAGGGTCTGGCCTTCTGTGACGTCCGCTTCCCAAGAGCTGGCTCCGGAGCACATGGAGCGCAGTGCAAATAGGGAAAACAGAGCGCATCCTCTGAAAGGGCTGTTGTTTCGAGTGCAGGGTGCATAAGGGGGGGGTCTACAGGTGCTTCAGGCGGGGGTGGGGGGTGAGGGGGAAGGAAACACAGCCTGTGAGTGTTCCCCTCGTCATGTGGCTGGTCCAAGGAGCTCCCTTCTGTGAGAGCCAATGAAAATAAGCCTCCACGACTGGAGACAGCACTGTCATTTCCAGTGGAAAACACTCCCCGGATTAGAGAGCAGATTTATGATAATATTCGTACACTGATGCACTAAATATCTGCTCCCACATGCTCTGACCCATTAAGGTTATTTGGTTTCATTAGACACCAGAAGGACACTATTGTTCTGGAAAAAACAAGCACTGACCAAAAAAAAAAACAATTCGGCGATGAAGAATCCCTAAAAATTTGTAAAAGAACAAATTAACTGGATTAAATTTCTGCCCGCAGTTTTTTCTGTTGGTATAATTTTCACCACAAAATGAATGGAGGGTGAGTGAGGATAGTTACAGAAAGCATCGTCTTTCCGGTTGAATATCTGTTCCAAAGAAGGATCCTTTGACATTTACGACTGCAAAACACGGCGAGGGAGAGAGACCTGAGTTCTGCCACTGCTGTGTGAAACATGATCTGTGTGTGTGTGTGTCTGTGTGTGTGTGTCTGTGTGTGTCTGTGTGTGTGTGTGTGTGTCTGTGTGTGTGTGTCTGTGTGTGTCTGTGTGTGTGTGTCTGTGTGTGTGTGTGTGAGTGGAT